GGATTACTGTTAATTTATTATGCTGATCTGTTCTGTACGACATCTATTGCACGTCTGTCCGTCCTGGAAGAGGGATCCCTCCTCAGTTGCTCTTCCTGAGGTTTCTACCATTTTTCCCCCGTTAAAGGGTTTTTTGGGGAGTTTTTCCTGATCAGCTGTGAGGGTCATAAGGACAGAGGGATGTTGTATGCTGTAAAGCCCTGTGAGGCAAATTGTGATTTGTGATATTGGGCTTTATAAATAAAACTGATTGATTGAATTGATTGATTATAGTATTGTGATATTTTTGTGTCGTGATATTGTGTCGGTACATGGACGCTAAGTTTCAAATTTTTCTGATTCTGATAATTATTATTGACAATATAAATAAACTTCAGGCAGCTTTATTAAAATAATATAATCAACTGATTTCAGTTCACTGGATGAAAATAAACAAAGAGATGAACAGACTGAATCTTATTGATGAAACAGCTGTTTGTCTCATCTGGATCTGAAGAAGTCGATTGTTGAGACACCAACAGGAAACTGTCTTTGTTTCCACTTCCTGTCTGTTCACAGCATCATCAAGGTAAAATCACCTGATGAACTGACGTCAGAGTCCAGAGGGGGGCGCTGTTTCACACCTGAGGATCAAACTAAAAAAACGGCCTCACAAACACAGTTTGGGCCTAACCTTCAAAATAAAAGCATGTCAAAAACACAACAGCAGAATCAATTTATTAATTTACTTTTTCCCATAAAACATTTTTAGATGTATATTATTATTTTATATCATATTCATATTAATATAATTTAATTACAAATATTATATTTCTATATTTTAAACCTATAATAAACTGGACTGTCAGTTACTGGATATGTTAACCCTTATTTAGATTTACATTTGTGTTTATTTAGATATTCACCCTCTGTTTGCATTTCATATTTAACTTTCTGTGCATTTTGTATTTTTCACAATTCCTTATTTAATGTATTTTTTACTTTTAAGCACCTTCTACAAAAAGTCCATCTGCCATCTTTACAATAGAATTAATTTAGATTTCATTTAGTTTAAAATATTGGAACTGAGACACACAAAAAGGAAATATAGTTAATTTTGATGAGAAATATTTGTTGAAATAAAAACAATTCATTCTTGAAATACTAAAATGTATTTTGGTTACATTACACTTCTTTATCAAAACACAACAGCTATTTTCAAATCTAACAACTTTTCAACTTTTCCAGTTGTGATTTTACTTTCAAAGTATGACATCTATTCCATTACATTTAAAAAACAAAACAACAACAAAAATAGGTTCTGCTGGGATTTTGCTGTTGTTGTTGTTGTTTTTTTGCCAATATTGCGAATTTATTCTGAAATCTGGAAACAACTGAGAAGAAACTTTGACCCACTGAAATACTGTGTGATAATAATAATAAATAATACTGAATAATAATAATAATATTCTGATTTCATGTAAGATGTCACATCAGTTAAATTTCTGTAGCATCTTCATATTTTACCAAAATGTCCAACTGTCATGTTTACAACATAATTAATTAATATTTTATTTAATTTGAAATTTTGAGACAGAAACGCACAAAACGTGTAAATATTGTCAAATTTAAAAAACAAACAAACAATATATTTACAACTTTTTTACCCACTATAAACAGTCCATTCTCTAAATATTAGACCCTTACTCTGAAAGTATTACGTTTTTTAATTTTCCATATTGTGACTTGTTTGACACAGGATGAGAAATTTCACCTGCTGTTATGATTTAATGTTGACACTACTGCGACACTAAAATATGAGCAGCTCTATAATATCTGTGTTTATCTTTGGAGTGTGTCTGTTCTTTGTCTGACTCATTAAAACTCACTGGAGGTAAATTTCAGCTGAAATGGATAAAACATGAGAAATCGAATTAACTTCTAGCTTTTACGTTTTATTCTGAAAATCCTACAGAGCGCAAAACGGAAGCGATATTTTTGAGCTGAGGTCGAAACCGGAACCTTCAACTGTTTTCTGTCGATACTACCTGAGGCTGAGAGGAGCTCTATTCTGATTGGACGATTATCGATGCGCTCACTCTGACCAATCAGAGAGCAGCTGGGAGAATATATATAAAGTGAGTTAGGGCGGTGAGTAAGTAAACTTTGATCGTTGTTGACGAATAAAATTAAAACAAGATGTCTGGTCGTGGAGGAAAAGGCGGGAAGGCGAGAGCTAAGGCGAAGAGCCGCTCATCTCGTGCCGGACTTCAGTTCCCTGTCGGCCGTGTCCACAGGCTCCTGAGGAAGGGGAACTACGCTCAGCGGGTCGGTGCCGGAGCTCCGGTGTACCTGGCGGCGGTGCTGGAGTATCTGACCGCTGAGATCCTGGAGCTGGCTGGGAACGCTGCCCGCGACAACAAGAAGACCAGGATCATCCCCCGTCACCTGCAGCTGGCCGTCCGCAACGACGAGGAGCTCAACAAGCTGCTGGGCGGAGTCACCATCGCTCAGGGCGGCGTGCTGCCCAACATCCAGGCTGTGCTGCTGCCCAAGAAGACCGAGAAGCAGAGCAAGAAGTAAACAAACAAACAAACAAACAAACAAACAAACAAACAAACAAACAAACAAACAAACAAACAAACGGCTCTTTTAAGAGCCACACACACTGAACTAAAGACTCTGATCCTGTTTTACTGTCTGAACATCATGAACATGTTTTTAATGTCTTTGCAGAGATCAACCTGTTAACTGAACTCAAATATAAAGCGGGAAAAAACTTCTATTTGAATTATTATAAACAAATCGTTGATATAATGACGCAAAGTCTGATGTCATCACAGGTGAGACATAACATTTCACCTGATGACCTCATAAATGACTGTTCTTTATTTATCAGGTTCAGACTGAGCTGTGACCCTCACTCCTCCATTAATGAGTTATTAGATTAATAAAACCTTGATGTTTAAAAGTTGACATTAAATCCTGGAGTTTAAAAAAGCTTGTTTTTCACTTGTTGTGCAAATTGTTTATTTTTAGAATAAAGTGATTTTGATGAAATGTCACTATTTTTAATCTTTTTTTTCTGACAGAAGATTGTCTCACATGGTGTGTCCAGAGACAGACAGACAGACAGACAGACAGACAGACAGACAGCTGTTTGTCTCACCTGGATCTGAAGAAGTCGACCAAAGAGCATGGACACCAAGAGGCGAAGCTCCATTGAATTTCTGCCAACAGCCACTAGGGGCGCTGCCACCATCTTGGACTGTTGCGCCCAGACAACATGCAAGATGTCAAGGAGAGAGGAGAAAAAAAAGAAAACAGTGTAGTGCAATTAACTGCAACAACTATCAGTGGAACACCCCGCACCTGGCCTTCCACCGTTTCCCGAAGGATCCCGACAGGTAAGAACTCCTGACGTGTAAGTTTTAAAGTGTTTTAATATCCATTTAATATGCCAGTTTTCGGGGAAGATATATATATATATATATATATATAGACATATATATACAGACCTATATATGGCCTCTTGGACCATTTATATCAGAACTAATTACTGCTTTAGCATTAAAATATATCATATTAAAATAGCCTATATATTATTATTATTATTATTATTATTATTACTGTCCCCTTACTGTACAAACTGTAAATAAAACTTTATTCCTGACTATGTGACGTCGCCATTAATGTGTTTGTAGTTAAAATATTGATTTTTGTTTTTAAATTTTTATTTTTTGGTAGATTGGCTTACGGGGTGATTTTGAAGGAGTAATGAAGTTAATCTTCTCATAAGTGGATGTAATATGTAGAGATGCCATCTCGGCCGTTTTTCCTCGTTTTGTTTTTTTTAAAGTCTATATTTTGCTTTACAAAAACGTGAAAAAGCAGCTGTGACCAAGCTATCACGAGGTGAGTAGCAATGTAAGCATAATTAATAGCGATATACTTCAGTTTGTCTGTGTGTTTCTGTATGCAAGCGGGTCTGCTGCGGTCAGTGTTGCCAAGTCCGCTTATTTTTCTGTAAAGTCGCTTACAAATATTGGTAGTCGCGGGTCGCGTTTTTTTTTTTCTTGGGCTTGTCACTAAAGCGTAGTTGTTTATTTGGGCTTGTTCCCAGCTCCATAATAAGTTGTCAAGCAGATATTTTCGATATGTTATTTAAACGTAGGATAGTTTGTCTTGCCTGTTCCCTCTGTCCCTCCCTTTCCCCATACACACAGGAGACAGCAGAGTTTTTTCCCACCTGCATCCTGCTTCTAATTGACTCTGACCCTGATGGCAACGAGTACTAGCCAATCAGAGGCAGAGCAGGGTAATGTGTTGTTTCCTGGTTAGGAAAACATCAGTCCTGTAACTAAAAGAAAAAAGTTAGATGAGTGCATAAAAAGCAATAATAAATAAAGAATTTGTGAATTCAGGATGATATTTATTTGTGTGTGCAAATTTTAATTATCAGAAGTTTACTGTGTATATAATGTACTTGGTACATCAGTCTATATTTGATATCCCATCTGTTTTCTAATGTTAAATAATGTTAAAAGGTGGTTTAACTCCCTCTTGTGGTCATTGTCCTGAAGCTCAGGGGGGAGAAAAATAAATAAACTGTGTACTGTGGGTACAGTTTTTTCAAAACTGCGCACAGTTTACTTATCTGTCCACATGGTTGTAAATTGATCATCTGTACCCACAGTTTAAAATCTGTCCCCACGGACTGTAAAACTGTGCACATAGTTTATTTAATTTTCTCTCACTGGAACCTTTGGGGGCTCTGTAGAAAAAGTCGCTTGTTTTGGGCTTGTTTTCACAGGACTGGTTGCTAATTTGTCTCGCGAGATCTGGCAACACTGGCTGCGGTCTGCTGACAGTCCAAAATGGCGGCGGTAGGACGAAACCATGGGCGAGTCTGTTGCTATGGGGCGTTCTGTTGAGCTTCGCCTCTTGGTGTCCATGCTCTTTGACCGTTTCTCAATACTCAAGTTCAGCAGGACTTGTGGACTTGGCAAGTTCAGACTTGGCAAGTCCACGCGAGAGTCCGGACTTCCAAAGAACGGGAGTACAGTCATTTCTGCTTTTGGAACAGCAGCGAACTTGATGATGTCACCACCTCCGCTCGCCTTGGCTGTTGTACTGTATTGTATACATGCATATAGAATAAAACAATATAAACACAGCCCTGCGGCTTTTCATAGACATTGTAAGAAATGAATATGTATATGTTTTTAACATTTCAACATATATAACTGACACACTACAAAAACATAGAAATAGCCAAAATATTTTTATAAAATGTCTTTTAAAACCTTTTGATCATATTTAATCTGTATCCAATTCCAGCAGCTGGTTTCTGATTATAATCAAAGTCAAGTGTGGGGGAAAGTTTGTGGAGACTTGGTGGTTATTGTGATCGTGAGCATTGGCGAGATGGAAATCAAAAATCAATAATGGACATGGATCGGAGAAGGCGTCTTGGCGCAGTTATTGCAGCAGGACTGCTGTACCTGCAGGCTGAGGAGGAGGCTGCAGCTGAGGAGGAGGCTGCAGCTGAGGAGGAGGCTGCCCAGCTGAGGAGGAGGCTGCAGCTGAGGAGGAGGCTGCCCAGCTGAGGAGGCAGATCCCAGAAAGACAACGGAGGATGAGGATGAGGATGAGGACGAGACGTGTGATGCTTGCATGTCTCTATTGTTCGATATGTTTGTCCAGTTGTGGACAAAGTACCAGGAAAAGTAGAAATATCACAACAAAGAACAAAAACTCAGTCACAAGTCAAAGTGCTGCAAATGTAACTTGAGTAAAAGTATCTGGGTATTGTCAGCAGAATGTAGGATTACTTCAAATGAAGAGTTCAAAGTACTCATGATGCAGAGTGATCTAATTTCAAGTGTTGTGATCATCATATACATGAATATGTATTGAGTATTAATTGATCAACGTAGGCTACATGTGAGCAGCATTTAAATGTTGTCATGGTAGAACTGATTTTAACAGCTGTCACTGGTGCACTAGTCTGATCTATAACAACACACAGCAACTTGTAAATATGAAACAACAACATATAAAACAAACTATCTGAAAGTAACTGTAGCTATCAAATAAATGTAGCTTGAGTAGAATGCACAGTATTTCCCTCTCAGTAAATGAAATACCCAAAGTACATCAGATTTGTACTTAAGTAGCTACTTCAGTAAATATACTTAGTTACTGTCCATCACTGCATTTGTCTCATCATTATGCTTTCTGTCTACATTTTTATGGAGACGTGACAGTTTACCTGGTGCACCTAGAAAAAACAACAGCAGTTTAATATTCAGTCTGACATTTCATTGAAGTGTTGAGTTGTAGATTGTGGTGCTGTTGAACTGTACTGGATTACACTGACAGCAGTTTGTCATTTAGTCTGTCCTCACCAATATAAATGGATCACACAGGTCAGATGTGAAGAGGAGAAGTTTATTCAGACATCAGGTATACGATTCAAATCAGATAATCAATATTTAAAATGCTGTTGAATAAATACTACAATAAAGACAATTAATCTTTAAATACAATAAATAAATTACAATAAATTCTTAAAATCATTACTGAATGGTAAAAACACATAAATAAGCAAAAGAATGCAAAGAACAATAACATGTTACAACATTTAATAATATAATAATATATCTTATATACTGAGACTGAATGTTGCTCATTAGACATTCGCCAAACGAGTTACATGTCATATTTAACCACTACAGAGATATAAGTGACGAGTTTAAAAGGACTACCAGAGCACTACTGCTCTCTGTGGGGCAGCCTGAGCGCTCATACACACATGTTTATTATCTATGAGCGTTGACACCGCTGTCATCTAGCGGACCTCAGTCACATTCAACTGGGCTCTATATTAAAACATCGACCACGGGTCTGACGTTTAAACTACGCATGAAAACACTACGTTCTGTGACAACACAACAGTAACATATTGGTAATTATGGCTTACAATTGTGCGCCTGATTGCTGAGAAATGCATGCTGGGATACCTGGCTGTCTGAAGTCCACACAAGTCTGCTCCGATGCATCCCCGGTGAAATGGGCGTGGCGAGAACACATCCGGGCATTTGGACTGAACTTGGCTAGATGTGAACTTTGAATTGGAATAATACTTGGGCTGTGACTGATGACGTGTCACAAGTCTGCACAAGAACGCATGTTGAGAAATGGCTTTTGAGTTGACTGTTGAGACACCAACAGGAAACTGCCTTTGTTTCCACTTCCTGTCTGTTCACAACACCATCAAGGTAAAATCACCTGATGAACTGACGTCACAGTCCAGAGGGGGGCGCTGTTTCACACCTGAAGCTCAAACTCAAAACGAGGCTCCGTCACAGACAGGTGCTGGAAGTCTTCACCTTTTAGAGGTCACATATATAAGTAACATGATAAATATGAAGTTATTCTGGCTCAGTTTCAGAATCAACAGGAAACACATAAAAGGACAATTTGTTTATGATCAAAATAAAGAATCATTTATTTATTTTTTGTTCCTTTTGGTGTCAACTTTAGTGTGACATAAATAAAGAAATAAAAAAATGTGGTTTTGTTTTTCTTATTTCTGATTGAACTAAAACATACTGTACACCAACCAGCACACTGAGAACTAGACCACTAATAATAATAATAATAACAATAAATAATAATAATAACAACAACAATAATAATAATAATAATGATAATATGTAAAACTTAAATTAAAAGCTGGGTGTGTCTGTATGTTTTAGTTCAATCAGAAATAAGAAAAACAAAACCACATTTTTTTATTCCTTTATAGTCGTTGAGCTGCTTCGATCACATATACAAATATAAATGTTTAAAATGTGTCAGTGATGAGACTCTACACGTCGTTAGCTCACTGAGACTCTACACGTCGTTAGCTCACTGAGACTCTACACGTCGTTAGATCACAGAGACTCTCCACGTCGTTAGCTCACTGAGACTCTCCACGTCGTTAGCTCACAGAGACTCTACACGTCGTTAGCTCACTGAGACTCTACACGTCGTTAGCTCACAGAGATTCTACACGTCGTTAGCTCACTGAGACTCTACACGTCGTTAGCTCACTGAGACTCTACACGTCGTTAGCTCACTGAGACTCTACACGTCGTTAGCTCACTGAGACTCTACACGTCGTTAGCTCACAGAGATATATTTAAAAGTGGAGACAAGACAGACCCTCAGAATTACCGTGGGATCTGCATAAATTCATGTCTGAGAAAGGTTTTATGTAGTATACTAATTTCACGAACCATAGACCTCATTACAGAACATCAGCCATTAAGTAAAAGCCAAATTGGATTCCTCCCTAAACTCAGAACCACAGACCATATTTTCACACTGCACACTTTAATTGATAATTATGTGCACAAAAATAATGAGAAAATTTATGCTTGTTTCGTGGATTTTCAAAAAGCCTTTGACTCAATCTGGCACAAAGGCCTTTTCTTTAAATTAATTGAAAGTGGTATTGGAGGAAAAGTATACGACCTGAAAAAATCAATGTATACTAATGGAAAATGCTCAATTAAGATTGGAACCAAGAAAACAGAATGTTTCTTCCAGAGACGTGGAGTAAGGCAGGGCTGTAACCTCAGCCCCACCCTATTTAACATATATATCAATGAATTGGCAAAACAAATAGAAAAGTCTCCTGGACCTGGACTGAAATTACAAGAGACTGTAATAAAGTGTCTCCTCTATGCTGATGACCTGGTCCTGCTGTCTCCAACAAAAGAGGGGCTACAGCAACACTTATCAGAACTGGAAAAATACTGCCAAACCTGGACCCTGACAGTTAACCAACCCAAAACCAAAGTGCTTATTTTTCAAAAAAGATGCAGATTACAGAGAAACAATAACTGTTTCAAAATTGGAAAAAACTTCATTGAACAAACAAACCATTATACATATTTAGGACTAAACATTTCAAACACAGGGAATTTTAACATGGCTGTGAATGATCTAAAAGACAAAGCAAAAAGGGCTTACTATGCCATCAAGAGATCAATAAACACTGAACTACCAATAAAAACATGGCTCAAAATATTCAAATCAATCATCGAACCCATTGCATTGTATGGCAGCGAGGTGTGGGGTGCACAAACTCAGCAAGACTGGACAAAATGGGACAAACATCCAATTGAAATCCTGCATGCAGAGTTCTGCAGAAGTCTCCTCCAGGTGCAGAGAGGAACTCCAAACTCTGCATGCAGAGCTGAATTAGGCCAATATCCTCTACTGTTAAATATTAAAAAAACGAGACCTACATTTCTGGAACCACATTAAAACAAGTGACCCACTCTCACTTTCCTATAAAGCCTTATGCTGCCAGGAGCTGAACCCACAAAGGAGTCCCCTCTACCTGCTTGTCCAGAGTCTGACCGAACCTTCAACCACTCAGGTCACCACATCACAACCACCTCAGCTTCAGGACACATGCCCCCCGAAAATTAGACCCCACCAAATTATGACAAAAGAAAAAGAAAAATACAGAGAATATTGGACAGAACTAATAAAATCCCAGAGCAAAATGGAAACATATAAAGCCCTCAACAGACAGTACTCTGTGGCAACCTACCTGAGCACAGTCTCTGATAGGAATATGAGGAAAACGATGACTAAGTACAGACTGAGTGAGCACGACCTGGCAGTAGAAGTCGGCCGACGCAAACAGAGCTGGCTGCCCAGAGAGGAGAGGTTGTGTTCTCACTGTGACCAGGGAACAGTAGAGACTGAGCTGCACTTCTTAACTCAATGTGACAAATATCAATGCATTAGAGAAGAATATTTTGCAAAAATAATAAAGATATTCCCAGAGTTCTTGCACTTGAATAACTTAGAGAAACTTCCGGTCCTACTGGGAGAGAGGGAGGACTGTTGTGTACTGGCGGCAAAATATGTAACAGCCTGCCATCAACTTCACATCACACATGATGATTGATAATTGTTTATGTATTGATAATTACTCTGTTGTATAAATTAATTTCTTTATGACTTTTACCCTGCCATAGCCATTCATGCTCTCCATGTTTGTTTGTTTGTTTGTTTTTTAATTGCAATTATTATAAATGTATTGTTATTGTTTATGCTCGTTATATTTGTGTTATATTGTGTTAATATGCTTTGGCAACATTGTTTTGAATGCAGTCATGCCAATAAAGCAGCTTGAACTTGAACTTGACTCTCCACGTCGTTAGCTCACTGAGACTCGTCACCACTTGACATGTGTTTACAAATGTAGTTTCTCCACAGCTGATACACCTCAAGTCATATTTAGGCATTATGGATCCACTGTTACAGGTGAAACTGGTTTTGCACATTTGTGGATCACTTCCTGTCAGTTTGTGTGTCATGTGACATTTGAACCTTCCCTCCTGTGTATTTGCAGCAGGATCAGTGTGAGGTGCAGTTACTCTGCACATCAGCAGGTGGCGACATTTCCTTCTGTGAGATAACTGGACCAAGCAGGTTAAAACAAAGAGCCTATGGAGCGTCACATCCTGAAGAACAACACCTGGACACGGGGTCAGAGGTCAGCCCGCTGTTAGTTCGTCTCCAGAGAGCACATGGAGTTAATGCCTCTCAGCATGAGCACATATTTCTGTCTATGTTCAGCATTTCAAGTAAAAAACGGATCATTTGTAAGGATAATATTATCACGATGCTAATTTTCAGTAGTGCATTAATGGTAATTCCCATTATGTGTTAGCATCGAGCTAAGGGACTGCTTTGACACAGGGTTGCAGTGGTGGTACTCTGATCTTTTTCTCAGGTAAAAGTACAAGAGAAACAAAAAGTAAAAGCTCTCATCATGCATAACATTATCCATCTCAGATCAAACTGCTGATGCATTCATGTGTTCATCACTTTAATGTTGAGGCAGGCCTTATGTTTATCCATCATCAGTTATTCATGATATATTTTCTATTATATTAATACACTTGTACACTGTGCGAGTCAAAGTTACTTCAGAGTTAAAAAAAAATCTTGAAAATCAGATCATGTGTTAAAAAGTTAATCACAAAGAAATAATACAATAAACATGTAAAATGTAAAACTGAGAGAAAACATATTAACAGTGTATGATGATGTAAACCTTATATTTTCTTATTTATTCACATAAATCAAAGTGTTTACATTAATGTCATGACAACATGTGTTTCTATGATAAGACGTTTCCCAGTGTTGTATCTGAAGAAGGAGCTGTGTTCAGAATAAAAATAATCCGTTTACGGAAATATTAAATAAAACATCACAAAGGCACAACATTTATTTATGAAGCCTAAAACTTAATTATTCTTATTTGAATTTATTCTTGTGTCATAACAGAAGTTTTCTGAACAGCAGCAGTGACTTCACATGACGTCAGCAGCTCCTCAGTAATGATGGATTAATAATCCTGTGGGCGAAATGTGACTGGACATGAACTGTGCAGGTGTGTGTGTGTGTGTGTGTGTGTGTGTGTGTGTGTGTGTGTCCTGACTGATGATGAAGAGTTAATGATGTCACATATTAATCTGAGTGTTCCTCAATTTGTTCTGGGAGTGTGTTGCTGGGCTGAATGTGATCACAGTGTGTGTGTGTGTGTGTGTGTGTGCGTGTGTGTGTGTGTGTGTGTTGTTGAATGTGATCACAGTGATGTCACATGTAAATCTATAATGTGATGATCGATGCACGCGGCTCTACCTGTGACAGGTAACCGCCCAGATTCACCGGCAGCACCCGTGTGTTTACCACCACCGAAAAACTGCCTTATTAAAACTAAAGTAATCAGATTACTGCGGCGGTGTCAGTGTGGTTACATCCCCACGTGTCTCTGCTGACCGGAACACCGCTGTTACTCTGAATAAAAACACTTTGAGACGTTTTTAGAGACGAAATGTGAAGAAAACTCGCTGCTCGGTGCTCAAAGTGACTGCGTGTCAGAGAGGTTTGAAGCCTCCTGGAGTTCAACAAACGAGTCCCGGTGTCCAAACATGAGCTCGGTGTGAAGGGAGGGACGTGTTCTCTCTGATACGGTAACACCGGGGCTTTCAAACGGTTCTCTTGGATGAATTTTATCCGCAAACTGCGGAAGAGAAAACACAAAGTGGCGCCGCTTTGCAGCAGGGCGGCGGGGCGGCGGGGAGGGTTGACTCTCCACGGTTCTCATGTGCTTCATAAAGGCCGCCTCAGTCTCAGAGGCTCCTCAGTCACTCACACACAGTTAGACGGTTAGAAGTTTTCAGCGGACACGCAGAGTCAAAGATGTCGGAAGAAGCACCAGCGGCTCCACCGGCCAAACCCACGCCGAAAAGGAAGCGGGTCCCCCGCTCCAGGCAGGGCGGACCTTCACTGGCGAAGGTCATCATCACCGTCCTGACTGAGAGCAATGACCGCAAAGGGATGACGGTACATGCGATCAAGAAGGCTCTGGCTGCCAAGAACATCGACGTGGAGAAGGCCAACAGACGCATCAACACGACACTGTGCAGGCTGACTGATAAAGGGGTCCTGAAGCAGCTGAAGGGGACCGGAGCCTCTGGGTCCTTCAAGATAGCCAAGGAGCCCAAGGCCGTCAAGCCAAAGAAGGCAGCTGCCGCGAAACCTAAAGGAGAGAAGAAAAAGAGGGAGAGATCAGTTTCCGAGGCCCGTAAGGGGTCACCGACGAAGAGAAAAGCCAAGACACAGAAGGTGAAAGGTGGTGCCAGGAAGACCAGCACGAAAAAGGATGGTGCCAAGAAGGAGAAGAAAGTTGTTGCAAAGAAATCTGGAAAGAAACCTGCAAAGAAATCTGCAGGGAAGAAGTCGCCTGCGAAGAAAGCTACTGCCAAGAAACCTGCGGCAAAGAAACCTGCTGCCAAGAAAGCCGGAGCAAAGAAGGCAGGAGGAAAGAAGGCTGCAGGAGGAAGGAAATCTGCAGGAAAGAAGTAAAGTGGATCTTTAACCCGCACTCAGTGCAACAAAAGGCTCTTTTAAGAGCCACCACATGTTCTACAGAACTTGTTGTTCCTCTGTGACATCACACACCTCACTCACCCTCAGATCATGTGTCGGCTCATGAACAAATAATATATATATAAATATATAACTCTTATGACACACACGTTCTGAAACAGCACAGAGACACTTAATGATTTCATTCAGCTACGTTATAATCAAACTCACCACATTGTGGAGGCACATGAAAAGCTGCCACACCCCGGGATCGAACCCCCGACATCCTGACTGAGAGGCGGCAGTGCTGACCACCAAATATCCATGATGGATATTTGTATATTTGTGTCGGAGAAGACAAAATGGAGTTAGACACAATAGCCTGTTGACATGATCCAGAATCCATCATTTGTTTAGCTGTAAAGCGTTCAACACTGGGAAACATTATCTGACAGCTTCTGACTTTTGAAGCATATTATTATTATTATTATTATTATTATTGTTATTATTTACAAGATGAATTTAGAAACAATATGACAGTTATTACAATGATTAAATTCATCCTCCAGATTCATCAGACACAGCATGAGACAAATGTTTACACACACACGATACACAAAAAAGGTACAAGATATTAATTAAACAGAATTAATCCTATAATAACCATTCCCTTGTGAAAAGATAATATACATATATATATATATATATATGTATATATTATAGGCTGACAAGGTGTTCGGTTTAAGAACGCTCATCAGATTATTTTCTAATAATACAAACAGATAATCTGATGGAGTTGATGTTGATGTTGGCAGCAGATGAAGGTCAGTCAGTGTGATCTGTGGTGACGACGCAGCTGCATCAATGTTTCCTACAGAGAAACTTGTTCACACATTGTGTTGACTTCACTTCTGTTCGTGTGCAGGTAACGATGACGACTGTCAAATGATTGACTTATCTCATACCTTAATAAAACCAGAGCAGGTGTTATAGTGTGTTGGTCCATGCATCATTATGCTGCACATGCTAAACTCATGTCCAAATAAATTAATTAATAAATAAATAGGGTTGAGTTTCTTCACTAATATCAGAGGAAGTCAAAACATTAATAACTAAAGACATGTTGGAACTTTGGTAGAAAACGTGATGAGGACAAAATATATCATTATAAAAAACAAGAGACACACAACACAGCGTTTACAGAAGAGAGGTCGTTCTGTTTGAGCTTTTTATTATGAAACAGTATAATGTGCATGTATTTTATGTCACACTACATTTTCTGTTGTTGTTGTTGTTGTTGTTTTCTCCACAGTCTAAAGCTCCTGACACACCAAGCTGACGGTCGGCTGTTGACCAAAGTCGGGCCGTCGGTGAGCGTCTGTCGCCCTAGTTTTTGCGGTGTGTCCCGCACCGTTGGCACTTAAGCGTTGGCGGCTTTTCGGCCGATTGAGCATGTTGAATCGGCGGCGGAGCTTGACGGTGAGAGAGATCACTCTGATTGGCTGTTCAGGTTTTATTTCCTCACCCCTGTAGCGAGTGAATCTGCCTGTAGTGAAACCGGGGCTAACCGGTGCTTCCTCCTCAGGCTCCACTTCACTCAGCTGCCCCACAGACCCGCTGCTTCTTCACACTTTAACCTGAATAACAAACCGGAGCTAGCTGGGAGCGGCTAGCGGAGCGTTAGCCGCAGCATGACCGGAGGGAAGCACAGCCAGTTAGCCTCCGCTAGTCTCTGAGCTAGCCCCGGCTCTCCGTTTGGATCCAACCGGAGCACCGAGCCCTGGTTTGTTATTCAGGTTAAAGTGGAAAGAAGCAGCGGGTTTATCGGGCAGCTGAGTGAAGTGGAGCCTGAGGAGGAAACACCGGGACCGTCTGGATGTAATAGTCCGTGGAGGTGCTGCGGTGCTCGGCTGCACAGATAGGAAACCCCTCGGCTGACAGGATGTACCACTCTCTCACTCCGCTCTCTCTCACGCAGGCGCAGAACGTACGTGCTACTTGGCCGTCGGATGTAGTCCGTGTAGTGTGTTCAAATGCAACTGACACAGGGCGACGTGAGGCGACGTAGACGACGCAACAGTTGGCTTTCGTCACCGCTAGTTCTTTGATGTCGGTTTGGTGTGTCAGGGCCTTAACTGAGCCAAACATAAATAACGTCTGTAGGAAAACATGCTGTATATTTATCTGAGTATAACAAATCTGTATTTGTTTGTGCAGAATCTGTAAACACACAAAACATCAATCATTTAATGACTTTAATAAATCAGTTCAGTATTTTGCTGCTTCATCAAATGTTTCTGTGAAAAGTTCAGGGTTTATTTCTTTAATAAGTTTATACACATAATCTATGGGAACATCTTTTATTTTAAATATTCATTTTGTTCTGTCTTTGGTGTTTTTATTACCTGATGCTTTAAATGTTGTGTGGATGTTTTTCGCCTGTAAATCACTTTGTGTCTGAAACACACTGATGAAGCTGCGTCGTCACCACAGATCACACTGACTGACCTTCATCTGCTGCCAACATCAAGACCAGCCCCATAAAACATCTGTAATAATCTGACAGGTGAACGTTCTATCACTTTGTCAGCCTTTAATGTATTTATGATTTTTTTTGATGATTTTATAATAATAATAATAATAATAGGCTAATGATAACACACCTGATCAGATGCTACCAACACACTCAGTGCACACACAAACACAGAGATGTTCCATGACAGTTCGGACACTTGTGTCACAAACAGCTTTAATGTGCACAAAGAGTTCAGGCAGCAGCAGAAGCCAAAGACTCATCAGGCTGCTAAGTGTGTCTCTGGCCTCTGAGCCCCCCTACTCACTCACTCACCTGAGCCCCCCCCACTCACTCACCTGAGCCCTCCTACTCACTCACTCACCTGAA